TAGATGAGTATCTCCAGTGCTACTTCAGTTTGTTTAAATATTTCAATTTGTATTCCATCAATTTCTGGAGCTTTCTTCTTTGAAAATGCCTTAGTGCACCTTAGATCATATGCTACCTCTTAAAATGGTTGACCATTGACTATTTCCTTTTGGTACGGTCACTCTGTATATTCCTTCCATCTTTTTTGAAGCTTTCTACATCATTCAAAATTTTGCCCCTAGAACCTTTCAATGTTGCAAGTTGAAGTCTGAATTTTCACTTTAGTTCTGTAATTGTGAGAAATGTTAGGAGTTTCCTTCCCTTTGGGTTTTCTAATTCCAGTTCTTTGCACATTTCATGATATTTGACTTAGTCTTCTCAAGCTGCCCTTTGAAATTTACTGTTTAAATCTTTTACTTTGTTATTTCTTACATTTGCTTTAGCATCCCTATGCTGGTGAGCAAGGTGTACAGGCTATAATGATATCCATTTAGGTATTTTCTTTCTTCTTTGTCTTCTGAATGATCTTTTGCTTTCTTTCAGTATGATGTTCTTGATGTTATCTCACAATTCTTCTGGTCTTCAGTCATAAATGTCTCATGCATCAAATCTGTTCTTGAGATGACCTCAAAATTCAGGTGGGTTATGTTCAAAGTCATAGTTTAGCTCTTGTGGACTTTAATTTTCTTCAGATCCAGCCTGAATTTGCATATGAGCAACTGATGTTCTGTCTGACAGTCTGTCCCTGGCCTTGTTTTGACTGAAGCTTTGGAGCTTTTCCAAGATCTTTTTCCACAATATATAGTCAATTTCATTTCTGTGTATTCCATCTTGTGAGGCCATATGTCTAGTCATCTTTTATGTTGATTTTAAAAAGGTATTTACATTGAAGAGGTCACTGATCTTGTAAAATTCTACCATGAGATTTTCAGCATTATTTCTAACACCAAAGCTATAGATCCTTCCTGCCTGTTGTTTTCCAACTTTTGCACTGCAATCACCACTAATTATCAATACATCTTGATTGCATGTTTGATCAATTTCAGACAGAATAAGTTGGTAGAATTCTTCAGTTCCACCATTATTGGCTTTAGTTATTGATGTGCAAATTTGACTAATAGTTGTATTAACTGGTCTGCCTTAAAGGCATATGCTGAGAAATCAGAATTGGCCTATTTGAATCTGAAAATCACATTGTTTACTCTGCTGGGAATGACAAAATGAAGAGGAATGTCATTGTATGAACATCAAAAAGCACATTTCAAGAATTATCTTTAACTTAAATGCTGTCTATGATAGGATAAGACTAGCCTGAAGTATAATGCTGTAATAGGACAATATCCATCCACCCACAATATTCAAATTTGCACACCAACCACTAAAGCCAATGATGATGTAAATGAAGAATTCTATGAACTTCTTTAGTCTGAAATTAATCAAACATGCAATGAAGATTTATTAATTACTAGCGACTGCAATGCAAAGGCTGTAAACAAAGAAGAGGGATCAGTAGTTAGAAAATATGGCCTTGGTGACAGAACGATGCTAGAGATCACTTGTACAAAAGTAGTGGCTTATTTACTACAGTCCCTGGAGGACATCATGCTTGGTAAAGTAAAGGGTCTATGAAAAAAAGGAAGACTCTCAAGAAAGTGGACTGACACAATGGTAGCAGCTATGAGCTCAAATATAGCAACACCACCAGACAGTGTTTCACTGTATTACATGTAGGATTGCTGTGAGTCAGAATAGAATAGTATCCCCTTGCTCTGTTTGAACAACTGCCTCTTGGTCTATGTACAGGTTTCAATTCTTTTTGATCTAGTGACTTTGTGTTTTCCTTTCATCTCCTTTTGATGCTTCCTATATTGCTCAATATTTTGTACATAAATCCAATGCCTTTAGATCGATTCCAACTCACAGAGACCCTATTGGGACACAGTAAAATTGTTCCTTTGGGTTTCTAAGATTGTAAATATTTACATGGCCAGACTGAGCAGCTGCTGGATTTGAAACACTGACCTGCAGTTAGTAGCCCAGCAATTAATTCATTGTGCTACCAGTTCTCCAGTTCTTTCAGCTTCAGAAACGCTGGGTGTGTTCTTCTTTCAGTTTTCTAACTCCAGGTCTTCACATATTTCACTATAATACTTTACTTTTCTTCTGAAGCTACCCTTTGAAATATTCTTTTCAGCTCTTTCAATACATCATTTCTTCCCTTCACTTTAGCTATTCTACATTCAAGAGCGAGTTTCATAGTCTCCTCTGATTTTCACTTTGGTTCTTTCTATCTTTCCTGTTTTTTTAATGACCTTTTGCTTTCTTCATGTATGATGCTTTTGATATCAACCTACAGCTCAACTGTCACCTGGTCTTCAGTCATTAGTGTACAATTCATCAAATCTGTTCTT